CATTAACTCCTGTATTCAGCCGCAGATTTCTGTTCAAATAGAGAGAAGATAAAAGGCAGAAACAATATCCTGATGAATCAAAGGCCTTTCAAGCTAAATGAGACTACAGAGACACGGAGGGACACATTTATGATTTTCTGACGCACTTTAAAAGGTGTTGATATCTAATTGTAATTTTTAAAGTAATCGCTTCTTTGAAGTAATTAAATCTTTGATGTAATCAACAAATGGGAGCCTTATTATTCAGCGCTGCTGCCGTTGGCGTCTGATCGGGACGTTCTTTGTCAGTTTGGTTGCTTGATGTTGGCAGAAACATCGTCCAGATTGTCCCACCAGCTCTACGGAGCGCCGTAAAGACGAAATGAGGGGAGACCCGCTGCAGAGCAAACAGAAATGAAAGCAGAACGAAGGAACGTGTGAAGAAGGGCCTGTTGGACGCTCTGATCCGTCTCACAGAGAACATCGTGACCTTAAGGTGTAAACAGCTGCAAGGTTAGCGCATTCATACCATTCATACACTGAAGATTTACAGAGAAATAAAAGAATAAATGTGAAGAAAATGACGCAAAGGACAAGAAATTTGGGGAAATTAACTTAAATTAAGCATCATGTTAAAAGCATTGTACATTTTTACATTTAAAACAGTCATGAAGTTTTCTGTCCTGATTTAAAGGAGTCAACAGTCTCTGCTGAACACGGAGAGCTCAGCTGTTCTGATTTCAAACACGACCAACAAGTCTGAAATGTCTTCAGACTCAAGGTCATGCATCGACGTATTCTGGAAATGTCTTAAGATGCTATTTGGCTGATTAACCAAAATACTTCAAATTAGCTGTTAAAATCTAAATGTGAGTCCTTGAAGTTTTTATCTTTGGTTTTTAGCCTCATTGAGTCTCAAGCAGCAAGCAGTGCTGATAACTTGGATGGAGCTAATCAATAGAAACACAACAAAGTATTTGATTTAATTAGTGTTTGGTTTTACAAATGTTAATAAAACCAATCCACAGAGGGCGGCGGCCATGTTTACTAATGTAAACAGGGCGCTGCTGTGTTTCCTACGTTTGCTTTGGGCTTTGTAAAACGTTCTCGAACCTCCCAACGGTCGGGTTCACCTGGAAGTGACGTCACACTTCCAGGAACTTTGTAGTTGACAGCCATGTTGGTAGGCAGTTGCTATGACAACAATAAGCAAGCCAAAAGCTTAGAGCTACCTCTTGCCTCATTCCTAACTTATAAACAATATAAGTACATTACGACTTCTTGAGTACTCAAATCCACCTCTGTGCTAAATAAATATCGGTGCTTAGCTAACGTAGCTTTTATCTGCTAGCTAAGACGGACATGTAGCCTGTGTACATGTACTCACTCTGCCAGTCACCAGAACCTTGTTATTCACATGAAGAGCTCTGACAACTCTTACGTTTAAGCATTGATTGTCTTAAGCTCCTCCATGCTGATCTTCATGAACTGAAAGCAGGAGATCAGAGGAAGCTTGTCCACATGTCCAACACGTTTTGGTCCCAACAGCAGCCATTTTGTTGACATTGGTCAAGAGTGTCCATATACTTTCTTTTTGTTGGTCTGGAAGTCGTGGTTCATCCATGCTTTGCGTTCGCCTACCAAGATGGCGCCGATTCCTTCCGGTTCAGACTTGTACAGGTATTATGAGCAAATCGAGCATCACGACCGTGTGAACAGAAGCGCTGATTTCACCCGAGTAACATGATGGACAGACGAACTCGGTCAGTCACTGTGATCATGTATAAAGTGGCGCATCATCAGCATAGATTATGTTAAAAGATGTAGTAATCCATAACCTGAGCAGGGCGACCGTAGAGATGTGGAATAAAATGGTTGTGAGAATTACGCCCTGAGGAACGCCACCAGCTTAGTACCAGATAATCAGGCCAACTTTTAAATTCTTTGGCATAAAGTTTTAGATGCAATGCTATTTTTAAATGTGACTTACTGTATGAAATGTAGCATTAAAGCAACTGTTTTCCTTATCAGAAACAAGAGAAAACTGCCTTTTCAAAGGGTTTAGGCTAGATATGTTCTGGGAATTACTCATTACTGAGGAATCTGGTGAGTTCTCGTTAAATAGGTGAAGTTTCAGACATTTGACTGGATTTCCTATTGATTTGTACCACAAGTTTTTGCCCTGGTGATTTATGTCAGCCTTGCAGGGTGGGTAATTCATCTGCTGTAAATTAAAGGGCTGCTGAACTAGTTCCTCATCTCTTTATGTGTGTGCGCCTGAAGATAGGTGTAAATTTTCACTCTTATCATCTGAGAAACTGCAGGTTTATGATTCATAGGGTCTGCAAGTGTTATTCAGTGTGTGTGTGTGTGTGTCCCACGTGCATGTCAGCACTCGCCTATTGTACCAAAAGTAATTATGTGTAAGTTATGTGTGTAGTGGGGGGTTGAAAAAGGGGAATTTTTTTCTTAAACACAGAGGGGTTGATAATTACGGGTTAAATGAGTGAGCTCAGTCAGCCTCTGAGTGTGTGTGTTTAAAAAAAAGGAAGGCACAGCGAAAGCCACTTCAAGGCGGACTAATTACCCCGAGGAAGAGAGGAAACATAAATGGACGATTTTGTGGCTATAATGTTACAGCAAAACGTCTTGAGCGACCTCAGCACGTGAAGCGGAGCCACAGCAGATGTGTGTGCGACACGCGTTTGCATCCTTCCTGCAGCACATGCTGAGAATTCAAGAAATTCACGCACTTTCATATTCTGTGGTTGTGTCTCTGAATACTGATGCTGCTGCAGAGATATCTAATCTCCAAATCATGAGAGTTCATGTAAAGTTTTGTCAAGTCCTGCTTGTGCTTGATTTTAATGTCATGAAACATTTACCGTCACATTTACCGTCTGCTGATGCAAACTGTGCAGTTTTTGGGATTTTCCCTGCTAAATGTCAGTAATTCTGAAAAAAAACAACAAAAAAAAAACATTATTTCTTCTTCCCTGGATAGAATACTGTAATTAAATACATATAAAGTGTCAGGTGTTCTAACAAAAGAGTTGCTAACAGCTCCCAATGAGCAGCTAGCCACAGCTAACAGCAGTTAGAGGCGACGACAGAAAAGAGGGGGAGGAGCTAGTTACCGGTTGCTATGGTAACCACCAACCATCCTTAACCCGCCGATAAATGTCTGGAGAAACGGCTTCTTATTCGCCTGTCATGATAACAGAGTTTGCTGGACGATGAAGTAATTGCGATAAACGATAATATTTTTCTTTTGAGACCATTTTTAAGTAAAATAGACATTCTTAAAGATTAATCAACTTTAAATTATAGTTAATATTTAACACTGGAAAAGACATTTAAAATATCCAAAGTAAATAAACGAAACAACAGAAAATACAAATAAAATGAATTATGAAGTCTATGTAAACAAAAGCAGAGACTTTATCATCCAGTTTTTGGAAGAAAGTCAAAACGATAAATCGTGCAGATGGAAATTATTGAGTTTTACTTTATTCATCATGTGATTAATTGATTTATGGCTTATTGTGACAGGCCGAGCTGCAGCACAGAGTAGCACTGCAGCTTTAACCCGTCCTTCTGTTTTATTAATGAAGTCATAATCTCCCGTTTTGAGCGTCTCTTTCGCCTTTTTACGGCGCAGATAATCGCACGTGTCGCGTTGTGTTTGTGATGAAGCAGCTCTTTTTGCCAGAATCTCTACATCTTCTCAAAACTCAAAGATTTCTTTTTCATGTCTTCAGGTCATTAAGAATGCAGCCCATCTTATCAAACCCCCGTACTACCTGCTGCTCCGTCTCACACACTTCTGCTGCCCGGCACAAGAGGCGGCACGTTTTGTTTTCACGTGCCTCAACATTAAACGCGGCTCGGCGGTTTGATCTCTCCAACCGCTCGTCGTGTGGCATACACATGAGGGTCCGTCTCTGTTTGCGAGTTTGGTCAGAGTAAGACTTTAAGATGCTGATGGATAGAGTGTGTGTGTGTGTGTTAATGTGCGGTGCAGTGTGTGGAAGCTCTGCCTTTAAGTGATAAGGTATTCACTTTGTAACTCCGCAGGAGGCCCAGCAGGTTGCACCAAGATCCGCCGCTCTGTAGGGCTGCTTAATGCAAATGGACCCACATCTGTCCATCTCCGATTATAGAAGACGTTTTCAGAGAAATGTTCATGTGGATCAGAAATCCTCGTCTTTTCCGAGCGTCACCTGGTTATTCACGCTGAAACATGCATGTTTATAACAATGACCCAAGCGTACAGACACACTCGCGCCGCTAAGTTGGCGTGTTTCTGAGCCTGAGCGGCCTGGACGCCTCCAACTCTGCAAACCGCTGCGACATATCGGATGTCGGCCACCATGCCGAGAGCATTAGCAGCAACCAGATTTCACATAACTTATTGAGAGCCATTTGTAAACAGAAACATGAAAGCAAACTAGCTCGCACGCAGCCTCACTTGATCATCAAAGGCTTATCGATCGGACGGTCCTCCTCCGCTCCGTTTCTCCTCCTCTTCCATGCTCCCCTGGAAACAAGCGAAAGCAAAGTACAGCCCATGTGGGTTTTTTCCAAAACATGTTTAAAATATCCAGGTTTTTCCTGTAGCATAAGTGTAGATGTGTGTGATTTCTGTCCTGTTGTTTAAAGTTAGAACTGCAGGTTTTGGTTGTTCTGTGTTGATTTTGTGGTTGTGAAACTGAGATTTAAACCATTTCATGTCTGAAGCTTCTTGCATTCATTTCAAGGAAACGTTACAAGCACACGCGTAGCATCATGCTGATGAAATTACATTTCACTGTACATCATTTTGTCCTTTGATTTACCTGAAAGATTTTATCCACTTCAAAACACAGTTAAATTGTTCCTTAAGTGAAAAGTCTTTGTTTTTGTGATTGTAAGAACAACAGACCCATTTCATGTTATTGTTGACATCTGGAAATTTCACACAAAGCTGAGGGGCAAAAGGACGATTCTTTTCCTTTCCATCCATAAAACTGTTAACTAAATCAAACCTGGAGATGAAGCTGTTATTGATCCAGCGCAGTGCGCCACAGCAGAGGCAGAAAACTGTTGAAAAATAAGTCAAAATCACTTTTTTCTCGCTCTGTGTCGACTCGTTGCCATAACAACCAAAGAAAATGCAGATGTTTGTGTCAGGATTCAGAAAACACTGAAGCATTTCTCAGAGAACATTCAGCTCTGTGTGTGACGTCACGCTGCAATATGGCTGAATATTCAGAGATTTAATAATTATCATGATGATGATTTTACTGAAACAAACTTAATGTGTTGCTGTGTTTCCGCCAACAGTCCAACAAAGTGTCGGTGGTCCAGCAGTCCCACGGGATGCATCCGCTGACGTCCCTGCTGCCCTACAGCAACGAGCATTTCAGCCCCAGTCCACCGCACCTGCCCACAGACATGAGCCAGAAGACAGGTGGGAACACACACACTCACACACACAGACAGAGAGACACAGAGAGACACACACACACACTCACACACACAGACAGACACAGAGAGACACACACAGACAGAGAGACAGACACAGAGAGACACAGAGACACACACACACACACACACACACACACACACACAGACAGACAGACACACACGATGTAAAATAACATATTGATTGTCTCAATACACCTCTCTCTCTCTCACTCTCTTTCCCTCTCTCTCTCTCTCTCTCTGTCTGTCTCTCTCTCTCTCTCTGTCTCTCTCTCTCACACACACACACACACACACACACACACACACACACACACACACACACACACACATGCAGTGTGTGAAGTGGCAGCACCGGCTCTAAGCCTGTGGCAATCCCACAGCGGCTCTGAAGTGGCCTGCTCCTCTGAAGGGACTGCCAACCACACACACACACACACACACACACACACACACACAAAGATGGAAACAATTAGGGTGACAATCGCAGAAACCATCACAGCGGCTCACACACGGTTCTCCTTAGCAGCGCTGCGCTCAGGAAGACACAACCCGACATCCAATCACTGCTGGAGCTTCAGCCTGAACCGACGCTGTTTAATGGTTTTAATGTATTCACAACAATTTCTTTCAGATTTTTAGGTTCAATTTGACAGTTTTCCTGAAGTCAGTGTACACTGCAAAAACACAAAATCATTTTGGTTCAGTTTCAGGAGCAAATAATAATAATTGCTCATATTTGGTGCTGAAAAGTTACCTGTAAGTTAGTGTTGTGTTATTTCAAGTGAACTAAGATATTTGATCTACAAACTAAACAAAAAATACCTGGTAAGACTTTGTTTTTACAGTGATGTGATGGAATCCTGCTGTTATAAATTGGCTTTATGTTGTTTAATGTTTGCTAACTCTATTTATTAGGACATTTGCTGGTAAATAACTACAACTGTATCCTAAGGTTTTGTGTTTTTGCAGTGCATCCTGTGAGGATTAACCTCCACAATCTGTTTCTCATCCAGATGTTCTAGTTTCTGTCACAAAGAACAGGATAAATCCAATTCATACAGCTACAAATGACTTCCTGCGATTGAGCAGGAAAAAGAAAGCCACGTTGGCACCGGAGCGACTGTTGGTCCATTTCCAGTGAAATGAAACTAAAACAACTTTTATGGCTGGTGTTTATTTGTTTCTGTGCTGCGGCTTGATAATGAACTGCTGATGGGAGTTTCTGATGACATTAACCTGACAGGCGCGTACGGACGGCCCAGACATGCACGTTGGCAGGAACGTTTTATGAAAATGGAAGAAAAACTTTTGGAGGATCAAGAAAAATACTGAAAGTTTAGGAAAATGTGCGATACCAATATCAGAAATTTTACATTTTGAAAATAAATTATCTTAATAGAAACACGAAATTAAAAAAAAATCTCCCTAAAATGTGTTTATATTTGTCTGTATAAAAAAAATTATTTTGCAAAACTGCAATGGAAACCACTTTTTTATATCATGAGTAAAAATATAATTTACATCACTTATTTTAGCTGCTTTCCTTATTTAATGGAAACACAACGTTAGCAACATTTTCTGACATTAGCAGAATATTGATAAAGTTTGACAATATTAAATATATTCCATAATTTCATTCACTGAATTAGATTTTTATTATCCAGGACAGTGAGAGTTGCAAAAGTAATCATTAAACATTTTTTATGTTACAATCAATAAATAGTAAATAAATGTGAAGTGGATGGAAAACAAATTCTGCTGGATGATAAATTGCCACAAAATTACTTCAATAAACAATTATATTGTTGTTTTGAGACATTTTCTAGTAATATATTGTTATCGGCATGAAAATGCAAGTTCATCCTGTCAAAGATTAATAAACACTCTGAACTGCAATTGGACAATATTTTAAATATCCAAAATAAAACAAAAATAACTAATTAAACCTTAGATAAATGGATTATGAAGTTGCTCTAAACAAAAATAACTCTCAAAATATTAATTAATCATCAGAATGGAAATTATTAAGCTCATTTTAAGTTATTGTACAATTAATTGATTAATTGCTTTTTGCAACAGGCTTAATTGAAAATATACATAGGTTTTCCAAAGACATTTTTCCCATGTTATGTCATGATTTGCCGGTGCGGTGGTGAGAATGAACGCAGGTTGACCCAGGTGGAAGTGAAGGAAAGATTATTTAATGAAAGCAATGAGTACAGCTGAACAGAACGCTAGGTTCTCCCTGGCAGGTACTGAAACGAGAGCAAGGCCGGCTGTCCAGTTCGACTGAGCGTGACTAGACTTACGACAGCAATCATGAACCTAGACTAGGACCCGACAACAGGTGGACCTAAAAACACAGGGAGGATAATCAGGGAACAAGACACAGCTGGGAAACAATCAAGGAGAAGAGACAGGAAACCACAGAGACGCACAGGGAACAGAGCACAGAATCACATATCTAATAAACAGGAAAAACCCAAATCCTTACATGTTACATCAATATTAAGGGATTATTGACTTAAAATCTTATTTCCTGCTGAAAAGTTGCTTGTCAGTTAGTTTTGTCTTATTTCTACTGATATATTTAGAATCAAACTAAAAACACCTGGCAAGATTTTGTTTTTCAGTGCACACTTCAGTTGTATTTATTTAAATCTGTGAATCATTTTACCTCCATTTCTCACTTTTTATCGTACGTGAAGAAGCAACAACAGCAGCTCTCTGAAGTGGACCCGGTTCCAGAAGAATGGCAGCTTTGTCCTGCGCTGTTCGGTTTTAATCTTCCGCCTTCTCCGGCTGGAAATCCCCGTTTTCCCACAAACACTCGCTCCATGTCTGGTCTAGACTCTGTGTGTGTGTGTGTGTGTGTGTGTGTGTGTGTGTGTGTTCATAACTGATGGTGGATCTGTGACTCAGCTCTTAATGACAGACTGAGACACCTGCTTCTACCTCACACATCCACCAACACCTGGCCGTCCCGCCGCTGCCGCTCCACGTTTTGCGCTCACCTTACCTCATACCTGTCAGCTGATCGCCTCACCTGTGAGGTCATTTCTTCCAACACTCCTTTACCTTTCTACCTGAGCCCAGCCAGGATTGAAACCCGGGAGAAGGATGACTTGATTTGGGATAATTAAATTCTTCCATGAACAAGCCATAGCAGGGTGTCTAAAGTGTGGCCCGGGGGCCGTTTGCAGCCCTTGGTGCGATTTTGGGCGGCCCTTGTTCACAATTTAAGACCGGCTTAAATTTGGTTTGCCAGGCAGTTGTTGCAGATTCAGATTTAAAAGCAAAGTTAAGGAGCAATTTTCAAAGAGTTTAACATCTTTCAATGCTGGTTTTTGCTTTAATTTATTTTAATAGTAACATGAACAACAAACATCCTGAGATTTCTACCTGAGCAACAGAGAGTGAGTCATAAAGCACAAATAAAAGATGATCAACCTGAAACATTTAGAAAATGTTTCTTTATACAGAAATCTGATTGATTAGTTTACAGATAAATGCAAAAATATGCCATTCATTTTCTAACTTGGCGTAGTAGATAGCATTTGAAACTGATAGCTAACATGCTAGTGTTATTGTTTTAGCAAATGTCAGCATTTTACCTATTGATTGCATGCTAGCAGCTGTTAGCATAACACAATGTTAGCTACCTTTAGTTGGGCTGCGATTCTGGACCATTTTTATTTTATAACAGAATATTTTTCATTCCTGCTGCTCATAGCATGTTTTAATGAAACATGTTTTAATAAATCAGTCATGATGTGCTTGAGCCACATGATGATGATGATGATGTGATGTTGGCTTTTCTCTCTTCTCTGCATCTTGTGGCCAGTAAATGTTCCTGTGACAGATTTGTTTATGAATTCCTCTGAAAGTCACCAGTTTTTTTCTGTCTTAACTTCCTTTATTGTTCGTTAAGATCTCGTCTTATTCTCCGTGTGCGGCTTACTTCCTGTGCTATTTCCATTTCCACCCACTGTCTGTTTTCAACCATGCCTCATTTGTCTCCCTTTGTGACATTTTTACCGAACCACTTCACACTTTTCCCATCGACTCCCCCTATCGTGGCATCACAGCATCTTACTGTTTATTAGCGACATCAGAATGTCTTCACCTTAAATTCATCTATTAAAAATCTGTGGTAATGCCTCTGTGATTACAAGCAAATTTAGTAATTACAATTATTGTTTCTTTATACTTCGTATAACTATACTGACTTATGTAAATAATGAGTTTCAGTGTATCAAAAATTCATGTGTCCATGGAGATATTTATTACTGATTTGTCATCCAGCCCCAGAAGGCGCTAAGTCAGGAGCTAACTTTGGAAACTGGACGTCTTCTATCATGTAAACCAGGGGTCCCCAAACTACGGCCCGCGGGCCGGATCCGGCCCGCCACGTCATTTGGTCCGGCCCCCTGAACCGGATCTGGCCCGCCTCCTCATACCAGAGAGCATTCAGTGTTTTTTTTTTTCATATATTGTATTTTCCAGTTTATATGTGGATTTTTCTCCAACCACCAGGGGGCTCTTGAGCAGATGTGAAACTAACTTTCCCTCAATGGAATATAGACTAGTCAGTCCCAGTCACCGTTTCACTCACGGTTTTTTCCATTTGCATTCTGGGTAAAAATCAGTGTAAAAGCTCGAATTTGTCGTTCCCCCCCCCCTGTCGACAAGAATTTTCTAAGGTTTCTTTCTCCAAAAACTAAGACCGGCCCCCAACCAGAAAAAGGAACAGCTACGTGGCCCTCGCAGGAAAAAGTTTGGGGACCCTGATGTAAACTATCTATTGTTGTGTAGAAAATCTTGCTGCCACTCGATTAAAATATTTAATCAGATGATTTTACACTCTAGCGCTGTGATTTATCACCATGTCTGACATCTGTCAGAGTTGGTGTTTAGGTCGACTTTTTAAATTGAACTGAAACTCTGAATTCTGCAGCACATCTACATGTTACGGTTGTCAAA